TGAGAACATAGAAAGATAATGAAGTTTTGAATAATGGTATACTGTAGAATTGACATACCCATGTGAGGGACCACTATAGAGTAATGGGAATGTGGCAATATCTCTCCTCCCACCCTGGTGAACCTTCCTCTTGTCCGAGTGCAAATGTTGACAGTGTGTGGAATTACAAGTGTTCACTAATAAAGGTTTGGCCACTTTGAATGAAAACTAGCAATGGCAGCTTCCTCTTCCTGGATGTTACAGTCTGAGACTCTTTTTCTACAGACACCCCTATGCAGACTAACTCCACCAACCTCTGTGATATAAATAATGAACACGTTAGTTCATCTTCATCAGAGTGCTAAAAGCCTACCTCATTACTGGGTTTCTTTCTATGTGTTTGTGTGTCTGCTCTCTTTTCATTCTCTCACTATCCTTAGTCAAGTTTCCTAGAACAAGAACCACAGGCTACTGTAGTTCACCTCATGCGGTCACACCAGGCCATGTTGTGGTCTCTGGTCCTTGCTGCCCTCTAAGATAATATAGATTTCCTTCATCTGTGCTACAGTTTGTGGGTCATGCTAGTTTCTGGGTCCTTGCTGTCTTCCAGGGCCATGCTGATGTGTGTGGTCTGTGCTGCCTACAGAAGCCATGTTGATGTTTGTGGCCTGTTCTGCTGGCAAAGGTCATGGTGGTGTCAGTAATCCCTGCTGTGGTTGAGGGTAATGTAGATGTTCATTATATGTACTTCCATCGGAGATCACGCTAATGTCTATGTTGCTGCCAGAAGCTATAAGGATGTCCTTGGTAAGTGTTGTGCTGCCTCCAGAAGCCAACTAGAAGTCCATGATTCATGCTGCCACTGACTGTAAAGGGTGTGAAAACTTTTTTTTTTTTTTTGCACTGGTATTGATTACTGTGGACTTATGGTTGAGAATGAGAGACATAAAAGATTGGATGACAATCCCCCTTCACTCTCATGCCCTCCTTTTAAGAAACAGTCTAGACAGGAAAACATTGAAGAGAACTCTTAAAAATTGTGACAGGATTCCTGAAGTATAGTTCTTCACTGTTGATGGCTTCTTGTAGGGTTGGGGATAGGGGTTTGGAGGGACTAAGTTTTCTTTAAGGTATTGGCCATGGGGTGTTTCATCATATTCCAGGGACTACATGAGCAACACAAATTGGACTTGCTATATTTATACAGTCTTTCTTCTTTCTTCCATTTTTTGAGGGGGTCACAAAAGTGTGGGTGGGTCTTGGAGCATTGAGAAGTGAGTGGATTGGGGTACATTAGGTAGAATACCCAAGTAATAAAAACAGTATGTTGTATAAAATTATCAATCTAAATGGAAGACAGAATTATACTTTTGCTATCTAATTTTACATATATTACTTTCACAAAATTATGTATCCATAAACACACATACACACACACACAAACACACACACACATTTCTCTCATTTGGATCTTGTAATTTCAGTTGATTCTTTGTCTCCAATCCATGTTAATCAAACCCCAAATGATCTTTTAGGGGAAACAAGTTCTATCCAAATTGACTCTTTTCATACATAACATTTTATGCCCCTGATCCTCTCACCTTCATCTGGTCACCATGGGACAACAAATATTGATGGATACAGGAGATTTCTGGCTAACATACGAGGGGTTCTGAATGAGACTTTGAGGAACAACCAGACTGTTGAAGAACTACCTAATAACTACTCATATTTTATTTTCATTTTCCTTAAAATATTTATTATAATATTCATGAATAAGCGAACAACTTCAAATTGTCCAGTTTGTGGCATCTGTGAATTGAATATACAATTCAAATTGAGACATGAAGCACTGTCTCCAACATTATGTTATATAACTCAACATATGTTATGCTATATAAATGAATGCTATATAAATGAAAGCACGCTGTTTTCTTCAGGGTTTCTGTTCTTTCATTGAAAATGATATATGTTTTATTCATGCTATTTGATGTCCATTTTGAGTCTGCATTTGAGCTCCTCTTACTTATTCTATTATTGGTCAATATTTGAATATATTAAAAATTTTAACTGTTATAAATGTTGATGTTATACATATTGTTATATTTTGTGCACAAAATTATCACTTGCATATATTTGGAAATGAAACTGCTTTAGCCATAGGATATACTATGCTTTGATGAATTGTGCTGATGTTATATCAATTAATAATATGGAAGGGATGTCAAACAGTATAGACTTCTATATATCAGAGAAATAACTTATTATATCAGGTTATCAGATTCTCATTTGTACTTTGCTCTGCTCTTTAAAAATTATTGTTATAGTGTGATAGAATATTCTCATTGGACAAACTGTTATTTCTCTGAAGACAAAACATGTTAAATATTATTCCAATCACTGAATATGTTTGAATATATATTCAATATATAATAGTATGAGAATCTCTTTATTATAATTATTTTCTAATGGGCTTGGTCTGTCATACTGGTTCATGTGCAGAGTTCAGCCAATCTTCACAAGTAAGTTCTTCCCTTCTACAGGTGAGGTGAATTTTCTCTTGCTGTTTCCGATGTGCAGTTTACTTCAGCCTTGCTTATGTTTGAGTTTTCAGAGGAATTTTTTTCTCCAAGCTTCTATCACATGATAGCAACTCTAGGAATACAGTTGTATACCAACTCAAAGGCCTTTTTCCTGAGTTCCAGTGATAGAATTCAGGTCATCATATTTGTTTGGAAAGCACTCTTTAGGACTAAAAGCCAGACAGATCTCTGAAAAGCGGACATACTGGAGAGGGGTCACATCAAGATGTTGAACTTCTGATTTCCTCTTCATCACTCTGACCAGAACCAAACTTCTTTCAAGATTATTCTTTCTCCAGCAGAACTTTTCTTCTGTCTGATGAGTCTGGTCTGGTAAAGTATGTTCAAGGCTAGGTATGAACATGTTAATCTGAAGCTGTGTGTATATCAAGTACTTTTTGTTGATTTAAGAGGATGGACAAAAAATCAAAGGAAGAGATCCAATTTTTAATCCAATCCAATTTAAGAGGATGGACTAAAAATCAAAGGGAGGAAGGTCATGAGAACACATGAAAAATGCCCAGCCCTCTTTGGAAAAAGCATGCTTTATGGAGTCAGATAGAACTCTGGTGCAAGGGAAACTTTCAAGAGGATGGCACCAGCTAAGACTTCTGGCAGCAGTGGATGCATAGCCTGAACTGGCTATCCCCTGTGATCAGATTGGTGACTACCCCAATTGCCATCAGAGACCCTTCATCCAGTGACTGACGGAGGCAGATTCAGAGACTTGTGGCCAAACGCTGGACCAAGTTTGAGGAGTCCCCCTGCTAAGGAGAGGGTGGAAGGATTGTAGGACCCAGCCAGGAAAGGGACATGAAAGGAAAACTCAAAGAAGTGGCTAGCCTAGTTCATGGGAAGTTACAGAGTCTGAACCACAGTCAGGGGGCCTGTAATGGGATGGACTTGTATGTATGTGACAGTCGTATAGCTTAGCCTATTTGTGGGACTTCTGTCAATGACAGAAGGAGACGTCCCTAACACTTTGATTGGCTCTTGTGAACCTGTTCCTTATTCTGAATTGCCTTGCCCAGCCTGAATATAGGGGAAGAATCTTGGTCTTTTGTCAGGTTGATATGCTACTCTTTGCTGATGCCTGTGGAGTCCTGTATCTGTCTGAGTGATTACAGAGGAGGGTCGAGAGTGTGTGAGGAGAGAAAGGAGGGGAGCTGTGGTGGGATGTGAAATAAACTATTAATAAAAATATTAGAAAAAATAAATAAAGAGTAAAATGATAAAAAGCACCCAGCCATTTTGGAGGGATAAAAAAAAGGATGGATTTCAGTTCTCTATCTGCTCTAAGGGTAGTTTTTCTCTCTGTTCTATCGCCCACAACACTCACAATAAACTCATACTTGTTGCTGCCTTCTGTATCTTACATTTTTCCTGCCTTTTAATTTTTTTTTGAACAGCAGAGATAACAAACCTAATCAAGACTCCTAGACAGTAATATTTTAAGAGCTGAACAATCTCCACAGTGCCATATTTTAACTTGAGGATTCTCCTCACAGCTAAAACAACTGGAGATTAAGTTTTATTGAGACTACCAACAGACGCATTTCCTCTCTGCTTACTACCACTGAGATCATTGGTAGAGGATGAAAGCGAAGTAAGGGTATTGGATTCATATATGCTCTTTGTATCCTTTTGGCTACTTTGCATGTTGTGAAATTAAGTATTTTTTTTGAAAAAGAATTCTTCTTACATACAATACATTCTCACCAGAGTTGTTTTCCTCCCTGCACTTCTCCCAGCTCCCCCAGATCCACTGCCCTTCTATTTTTCTTCAGAAAGAACAAGCCTACAATAGACAGAAAAAAAAAAAAGCTAACAGAACAAGATACAATAATACAAGGTAAAATCCCTCACTACTGAAGTGGAACAAGGTGCCCAGCAGTAGGAAATCAGTCCCAAGAGCAGGCAAAAGAGTCAGAGACACACCACTGCATTAGTGGATTTCTCATCAAAAGTTTAAGGTGGGAAGAATTTAGGTTTAAGCAATTGATTAAATATTAAATATGTTGGTTTCTAAAGTTAAGTTAGATATCTGACATTTTCAAACACCTGTAATATCTGTGTCTCGTTCTCTTCTGTAATTTTGAGCCGCGTCTCTGATACTGTTTTCAAATTTGGAACAAGTCAAAGTGTTAATATGGAAGGAATAACCTTTAACAGAGACATCAAAGTGCTACGTAAAAATTGTATTAGTTATATTTCTCATAAATATATAGTTATATACTTCAATTTATTATAATAAAATAGCTGATACAACTAACTTAAAAAGAAAAATGCTGCTTCTATTGGTCCATTAGTTCACTGGTTGTTACCTTGGATGTTTGACCTTGACAGACAAGTGTTGAGATAAGGCATTGGTAAGAGGTCTGCTGCTCACCTAATGAGGAGGAAGTGAGAAAGAGGAAGAGGAAAGGAATCAGGTCCCACCTTCATTTGTGATGACTCAGTTTCTCTAGGTCTCCACCATCTTCCAGCAGTTCCCAAACTGGGGTCTAACTTCTTTCCATACATGGATCTATGTAGCGTTTCAGATCCAACTAAAGAACAAACCAAACAGTTCTAAAAAAAAAAAAAAAAAAAAAAAAAAAAAAAAAAGAGGAAGATTTATATAGATTCTAAGTTTATAAATTTTCAGGGAGAATGTGGGAGACAATTGTATTTTACTTCATTACTCAGGGAATTAATCTCTGCTAATTATGAGCTAAGAAGAAGCCAAAAGTTATGAAAAACAAAGCTAGTTGGAGTAACTCAGAGGGTAGGAAGGTGGTCCTGTGATAAAATTAAGAACCATTACAGAACAAATAGCTAGAAATAGGCCAGCAGTTTCTTGGGCAGATTATCCTTTCCAGTTTATACACTACCAACTCAAAGTTGCAATCTGTCCCAATCTGTTTAGAACATTTCTAAGTAGGTAGTGACATTTTAGCTGTGAAGACTTCAAATTTCTGAATTAAGTCTTCAGACCATGACGTTTCTCTTAGAACTCATTTATATAATATCCACTCTCTTAACTATGTTCTTTCTTTCCTTTGTAGTAACTTCTTTTTTAAAAATTTTACTTTTACTTCCTTTCAATAGCTGCCTCAAATAGCTGGATTAGGCAAGGTTCGGGTTTTGGATGTTTCTATAGCAAATTTTATGTGATTTTACTGAATTAACTTAATTCCTTCATCAGAGTAATTCTTTATTCCAGACAGATCTACCAACTGCATCAATAACATCTCCTCAATCATATATTACATAGACCTGTAGTCTAAAATGACTTACTAGATATATTCTATGTGGATGCCCATAGAAGATTTTAGTTTCATGGCTCTCTAGGTCAAAGTTATCTTCCTCCCCCAAACTGTTCTTTCTTTCTTCCTCTGCGCTTAAGTTAATGAAATCACTATTCAGTAAGTTACCCAAGCTAGGAAACCTCATTATGATGCTCAACTCATCCATTTATCTCATCTCTCACAATCAATCAGTCAGCACATCTTGTTAATTCCACCTCCTGCATATCTTTAAGATCTGTCTTCTCCTTTTCATTTCCAGGGCTGCATCTGCGGTTTGCAGGTTCATCATCACTGTTTCAGGGAGAACCATGGGTTCCTAACTTATTTCTCTGACTACTCTTGCAGACTCAAAAATATTCTAGCCTCTCATGGATCTATTACAAAGCTATACATGTGCATTTCTATAACATAAATCAAATCTATCTTCTTTTAACTTTAAAAGCTACTATTAAAAATTAGAGAAATATTTTATAAGGTCTGAATGCAAAATGATTGTGTTTTCTAGGCAACAAATGGGACAAGTTTTGTCCTACTCAAAATATGGAAATCAATACAATGCAGTGCCTAAAAATTTTGGGTGTTAGATTTTATTACTTTTGAAATTAATCATTTAATTTTAGGTTTTTCAAAGATGTAAATGCCTGTGCTTATTGTCCACTTTGAATTTACCTTTACCTCAAGTTATCATATATTTAATTTTTCTTTCTCAAACATTCATATACACACATATGCAATTTATTATAATTTATATATTATGTAAATGTACATGCATATGTATATACTGCTTAAGCAATAATGTAAGGGCAACAATATTTATGAATTCAAGAGAATTTATAGATTAATTAAAATGAGCCTAAACTATCTAATTAGAAAGATTTTTTTTTAGAAAGAACTCTTGGGGTGCACTGAAAAAAATGAAAATTGTTTGTAATCAGAACTTTTCCCCTTAATGAACAGGGCACTGAGTTGGTATTAAAATGTGCATTTATAAATAGGATTCTGCAGACATGTGACATTACACACCTGCCCGATAACTCTAAATTGCAAATGCAAGTTTTTTCTTGTCTTTTTCTATTTTGTATATATTTATAGCAATTGATCAAATTGTTTTTCATATGTGATAAAACTTCTATTTCTCTCTGTTATTTAAAATGCCGAATACTCTTCTAAACAGCAATCTACAGACTAGCTTTTGGTATTAATAAGTTTATCAAGTAAGAAATTTATGGTAGACTATAACCTAATGAGTTATCATCTACAGTATCTATATCAGAGCAATTTAATTTTAAAAATATAACTTAGGCCAAGAAATTTGCTCTAATAACTTTACTTCCTGAAAATCTTTTAATAATTCTAGGTTTCTGCTTCACACATCTTGAGTAAGTGAAAATGCAAGCTCAGGAAACATAGCTTTTGCAAGAATACTAGATGTTGATTGAAACCACAGTCAGTCTGCTATGATTTTCCTCCTCCAAACAAAGGAAGGACTTAAAATAAAAACTATATACTTGATAATTAGTTACAAAACCTTTTTAGTGTCCATGTCTTATTTCTAGAATACATCATATCAAGAAGTTTTGTCTCTGAGTCTAGGGATATCTTTGGAACTAATTTCATGCATGTAAAGTATTTTCCTATAAACATTTTTAGATCACAGAACAAAATATGCTAGAGCAGACTATATGATGATTTATTAGTTTGGAGACTGACATCTAACTTATAATGACCTCTCGTCTCAGTGTAGTGACTAAAAGATAACCTGAAATCAATGCTACATATTACCATAAGCAGAGCACAGTAGTCTTTGAAAAGTAGACAACGTAATAAGAGGGAGTATGTGATTCTTTCATTTAGCATTGTTATACATGGTATCTAGAAATCTAGAGGATTGCTTTAGATGTATAAGACGCAGTGATGTTATAAGTAGTGAACACACAAAAATTTCTTCTTCCTCCTTTTTAAGAATGTAGTTTTTCAAATCCAATGGCTTCTAAATTGATTTTAAGAATAAAAAATGCTTTTAAAAATGCTGAATACCTTGAAGAAAAAAAGATATTTGTGTTTGAAAGGAAATAACCTGTGACTGGAGCAATTTAATTATTATTTATATTTTTTATTAATGTCTGACATAAAAAAGTTGTGGTTAATATTCCAGATTCAGGAAAGTATGATGTAGGTTGTTGGCTAACAAGGTGATTCTGCCAAACAATGCACAATAATCAGTCTCAGGTGAAATTTATGTTTATTTGATATGTATAACATGTACTATGTCAACAGACTAAGCAGAGCTTGGAATATTTTCAGAATGCATAGTGAATAATGACCACGAGTTTATAAAAATGACAACCATTTCATATAATTCATTGAAGATACAGTACAAAATACCTCTTAAAATTAATGAGAAAATACTATGCTCGTTATTAACCAGGAGAATGAAAACAAAAAATACAAATTGTGGACCTTTGCATATAGAAAACTGACCAAACTTATTCATGTTTCTGTGAGGACACTGATTGATGGAAATTTTATTTGTCATCATCATTTGGTGATGAGTTTGATGCAATAAAGAATGTGCTTGTATTATTTAAAGTGTGAGACTCTGCTCTCACTGTTTTACTTTAAAACTCTTACACATGTGCTTTGTGGCATGTACATAAATGTTTATTTCCATGTTGTCATACCACCAAGCCTACGATTGTTCAACTAACCCCAAATGGGATAGCATTGGGCGAGGCCTTAGTACAGTCATTGCATACAACAGAAATAAGTGAAAATTCTAAGCATATAGATATCAAAACAAACTAATCTCAATATAAGTCTCCGAGTCAAATGATAGCTACACTTACATTTTTAAAATTTATTTTCCTTTTAAAATGGCATGACATGTTTTTTATGGATATGTGTCCCGTACTTCAAAGTTTGAAACTAGTTTATGAAAAGGAACACTAGTGGTTGAAAGAATGCAGGGTATTAAGAAAAAACCCACTTGGCAGAATTTTCCCATGGGATTTGCTTTGAGTTTCACTCTAATACCTTAGATTTCCCACCACATTCTTCTTTCATTACAACAAATACTGCCATCTCAAACTTTTATTGTATCTAGCTTTGAAGGCATTGCAAAATACATTAGTAACAGAGCTAATAGCCTATGATCTCCTTGGCGCCCTGAACTGATAAAAGTATTGGCATTATTATTGAAGTATATAATGCTGTCAATGAGGCAATATAAGCTGGATCAACGACATTGGCATTAATGGAGAGTCTAGTAGTGAGGATAGAAGTAACCAAACGGAAAATAATACTGTCAATGATGACTTTCAGATTTAGTTTCTTAAAAATAGTTATAGAGAGAAAGGGAAATAATGTGATGCCACTAAACTGGGCAATCTGGACTTGATGTCCAGAAGTCACATGGAAGAAAGAGAGCCAGTGATCACAGGAACAGCATAAGTTGGTTTTTTATATCCATAGATTTTAACATGCCTGCATACACATATATATATGTGTGAGAAAATAAGAAAATCACAGATAGCCTTGGGCACAAACTACATAGAACCCTTTTTGCTTAAGTTCTCAAAGTCCATGCAAACAGAATTTGCAAATTCCTAGTACAAGAAGATATTTGAAATTGTTCTGTTAAAAGACAAACTGATTGAGCTGGAGAGATGACTCAACAGTTAAGAACACTAACTGTTCTTTCAGAGGTCCTAAGATCAATGTCCAGCAACCACATGGTTGCTCATAACTGTCTGTAATGGGATCCCTTGCTTTCTTCTGGAGTGCAGGCATATATGGAGATAGAACACTTAATATACAATAAATAAATAAATCTTAAGAAAAAGACAAACTGATCAAATAACACTCGATTATAGAGAGACTGCTTGTAATGATAGTCAATATGACACATATTTTAAATACATTCATTTTAACAATATTTATTAATTTCTTACATCTGAGTCATGAAACACAGAAATCCAGGTTATATAAATATAAATGTATAATTATATCTAAATGTGTTAGAATATCTTAATTTCATATCATATAAATGTTCAAAATGCTTTAGTGCTTGCTTAGTGAGGTAAACAAAAAATAAAATAAGAGATATCAGCAAAAATGAATTTGTATACTAAATCAATTTACAGATAGATATTCATTGGAAACGTATTTGTAAGTCAAGATGCTCATTTGTTAACTTGTGAATTTAGAGCAAGTATAACTTGTTGTTGAATGTGAAATAGACAATTTATTGGCTAATAATGTTTTGTGGGAAGACATAAGAGT